TGTTTATTCAACAAAAGTTATTAAATATCTGTTGTGCACATGGAGCTAGAAATATGATGGTAAGAAGCACAGATGTCCTCCTAGAGCTCAAGCCTGGCACGGAAGTCAATTAAGTAACAAGATACGGCCTTGGTGGCTGCTCCCTCCCAACTGAACAACTCTTTGATATTGGCTTCTGAGATGCCATCTTTTCTGGACCCTCTTTACCTAGTTCTGATTGTGCCTTAATGGCCTTTGTGCTGGCCTGCTCTTTCTCTACCTGTCCCGTGAGTACAGGGGTTCCTTCCCCTCTGGTTCCTTCCTTGGCAGCCTTCTGAATCTATATCTCAAGTTTCCACATGATCTCATCCAGGTCCATGGTTCCATCTTTGTACTACAGGATGATACAACCAAACCTATATCTTCAGTCCAGAGTTTTCTCCCAAGCTCCAGACTTTCTGTACTCAACAGTTTCATGTGGATGTCCACAAGTGGTCCAAAATAAACAAGTCTCAAATCGAATTATTATTTACCCTAAATTTGTTCTCCTTTGTACTCCTTAAGTTAGTATATGGTACCTTGTTATCATGGCCTTAAACCTTGACATCATCCTCAATGTCTCTGTCCTTCAAATCTCACAACCAGTTGGTCACCAAATTGTATTGATTTGCTTTGATGGGTCTCAAATGAGTCTTTATTCCTATAGCCAGTGCCTTAATTCAATCTTATAATTTCTCTTTTGGATCCATTAGTCATATCTCCCTGCCTCTGGCCTTGGTTTCTTTCAGTCAGGTTCATGCATCAAGTAGATGCATCTAAAGTGGAACCGAATTATGTCACTTCCATATCTTGAATTGAATATCCTTTGATAGCTCTCCACAGATGTCCAGATAAAACTCAAAACTCATATCATGACCCATAATGCCCCAACTGCCCACCTCTTCTCTCTCTTCATCCAGAATTACTCAGTTCCTTGGATATCTCATTGTGTCTCATATATCCTGGTATTTGTCCTTGAAGCTCCTTCTGCTGATCTTGCCCCCTCTTCATGGCATTCTTTAACACTCATATTATACACTGCTCCACCTAAAAAATTTCTCTGATACTTCCCTTCTCCAAGGTGAGATTAGATGTCTTTCTTCAGTACATCCATAAAATATTCCACGTGTATTCTTTGTGGAACATTCATCTTGATTTTAAAAACTTTTTATTTTAATTAATTAATTTATTTGACTGATCCAGGTCTTAGTTGCGGCACATGGGATCTTTAGTAGTGGCATGTGAACTCTTAGTTGCATCATATGGGATCTAGTTCCCTGGCCAAGGATTGAACCCAGGTCCCCTGCATTGGGAGTAGCCAGGGGACCACCAGGGAAGCCCCATCGGTATTTTGGATTTTAATCATTCTAATAGGTATGTGGTATAATCACATTGTAGTTTTAATTTGCAATTCTCTAATGATATATGATGATGAGCAATTTTCATATTTTTATTAGACATCTGTATATCTTCTATAATATTAGATTCAATTTGCTAACACATTTTAGAGAATATTTACCTCTGTTTTCAAGAAGGATATTAGTCTATAGTCTTATTACAATGTCTGTCTGCTTGGGTGTCCTATTAATGTTGGCCTCACAGAATGAACTGGGAAGTGGTTTTTCCTTTTCAATGTTCTAGAAGAGTTTGTGTAGAACTGGTATTATTTCTTCCTTAAATGTTTGGTAGGATTCACCAAAGAATCCATGTGGGTGTCCAGTTTTCTTTATGGGAATCTTTTAAACTATACATCCAATTTCTTTTATAACTATAAGGCTATTCAAACTATTTATTTCTTTTGGAGTGATTTTTTGATAGTTTGTGTCTTTCATGGAATTTTGTCATAGATTTTATCCTTCGGGTTTTTAAAATTTTGCTCTCTAGGTACTCTGGGTTTACATAGGCCATTTAATTTAAAAACTATGCTGACAGTTTCTTAGAATTTTCTAAGGTCTGATTTGGAAAACTAGACTGATAGCATAACAGTGTATAAACCAGTATGGTTAAGATGTGAAAGTTGTTGCTGAATCACGCAAAGACGCAGGGATTCTTGGATTCTGGAGGAGAAGAATTCAATCCAGGGCCAGAGATGAGGCTTGATTGCTCAGAGCTTTTGCATAATAAAGTTTACTAAAGTATAAAGGAAATAGAGAAAGCTTCTGACATAGACATCAGAAGGGGGTAGAAAGAATATCCGCTTGCTAGTGTTAGCAATGGAGTTATATACTCTCCAATGAATCCAAAGAATATCTGGAGGTTGTAGAGATCTCAGACCTACTCCTATAATTTACATTTTAAGATAACAGAATTAGCCAGAAGGTTTAATCCAGAGACTGTCCTCAGGCAGGATACATAACTGTTATATAATCCTTGTAAAGACCAGACCTACTCCCATAATATACATTTTAAGATAACAGGATTAGCCAGAAGGTTTAATCCAGAGACTGTCCTCCCAGCAGGATTCATTATTGTTATAGAATCCTAAGGAATGTAGAGGGGAAAAAAGTTTGTCCTTTCTTCCTCCTTGAGATTTCCAGACCCCTCTTTCCTTGGGGACGCCTAGACTTCTTATCAACTTGCCTAGGAAACGACTCTCTCTCAGATGTCCCTAAGAAAATGTAGAAGTAGCATTACTTGATTGTCACAGGGTCACATATTTTAATATAAGTAAAAAAATTGATATTGATGTTAGAATATCTTTAATTATAAAACATTTTTCACAACTCTATTTTGCAGATTACAATGTGAAATTTTAATAAGATTACTGAAATTTTAAGTATTTTGCTTTTGTATGAATAACTAATAGTATCAATATTTAAGATAAGAATATTAATGATAGATTAAGCACTTCTGTTTATATAAATCAACCTCTTTTCTTTTTTACATTTCTTGGGGTAGTCATTCAACTCCTCTGGGTTAATTTATTCACTGGTAAAAATGAGGCAATTAGACTAGATATTTTGCTAACATTTCTTCTAGAATGTTATTATTCCAATACTTAGAACTTAACATGAAAAAAGCTTGTGATGTTAACTGTGAATCAAAATATTTATTTTTAAAGTGCTTTAATCTAATTATATTAGTTTAAACATAAGTATACACAGATACCTCGTAAATACTTTGTAGAGAGTGTGAAATGAGTTTTTTCCAAATTTATTTATTTGTAAGCTGCCAATTGAAAGTAATATTGTTTGGGGAAGAGAAGAAATGGGGTCACAAATAAAATTATTACACTTCATGTTCCAAAGGAAGATAAATGCTTAATTTAAAGCTATCTATCTGAAATCAAAGTCAGAGGGACACTTGCTTTAGTGTCAGTTCTTTTGTTTATTAATCTTACTAACAAGAAAGGTAAAATGGAATGTTTTTGAAAGGACACCTTGGCATCATTGCAGCATTTGTTTAAAGTACAGGGTTAAATTGTGAGAATTTAAGTTCTTCAGGAATTCTAGAAATCAAGTTTGTTTTGGGTAAGAACTTGATCAGAAACAAAACAGTTTTCACTGAATGTTACATTGTCTGGGCACTCTTCACCAGCACATGGACACAATTTATTCTTTGATGAGAATCATGCTCTAGTTCAGATAAAAAAAGTTTCACAGAGGATCTTGGTAGGATATGTTTAAAAGGAAACCTTTATAAATCATGTTATGATTACAACATACTGTATAAAGATATAGATTAAGTCATTGTTTCTCCTTTGCTCATTCTTGGAAGATTTTTAAAACTAAAAATTTTAATGAAAAGGTTCTGGAAATCTTGAGGGTGGCTTACCATTCAGTTTGTCTTTCTATCCCAGAAAAAAATTATACATTTTAAATAAAAGTAAGTTCAGGTTGGGCTTCCCAGGTAGCACTAGTGGCAAAGAACCTGCCTGTCAATGCAGGAGATATAGGAGACAGGGGTTCAATCCCTGGGTCAGAAGAAGATCTGACAAGTGGGCATGGCAACCCACTCCAGTATTCCTGCCTGGAGAATCCCACGCATGGACTGAGGAGCCTGGTGGGCTACAGGCCATAGAGTCGCACACAGTCAGATACGACTGAAGCGACTTAGCACACACACAGGTTCAGGTCAGTTTGGTGTTTTGGAAGCTGTAGATGTTTTGGATGCTTCTGGTAGCGCCTTGAAACATCTCACCCAGGCCCATGTTAGACTTCAGCCATAGGTAGTGGACAGTTCACCTCAACCTCAGACTCACCTCTCATTGACAACCACCCCCCTCAAATGAATAGCTCATCTCTCCACTTCCTGACAGTGTCCTTTTCCAGGTCGTGGGAGCCCTTGAGGCCTGAATGCAAATGTACCCCCAAAGTGGAGAGGAGAAATGTCCTCAGCGAACGGGTCCAGACTAGCGGATACATGATCCAATCCCTAGACAGTCCTGAGAAGCACCTGCTCATTTCTAAAGGGGTGCTGGGCGTGTCCCTGGTGTCTCAGCGGTGAAGAATCCACCTGCCAATGCAGAAGTGGGTTTGACCCCTGACCTGGGGAGATCCCACATGCTGCGGAGCAACTAAGCCCCACGTGTCACAACTACTGAGCCTGTGCTCTAGAGCCTGGGGGCCACAGCTACTGAAGCCCAAGTGCCCGAGAGCCTCTGCTCAACAAGAGAGGCCACAGCAAGGAGAAGCCCGCACGTCACAACTAGAGAGGAGCCCCTCTCACTGCAACTAGATGAAAGCCCAGGTAGCAACGAAGAGCCAGCACAGTCAATACATAAATATACAAACAGGGCTTGTCCTGGAATCAGGTCCCAAACACTCCCACAGAAGTCTTGGTAATGCATCCTTGTGTTACATTTTCTTCCCTCTCTCATTCTTCCCGCTCTCCCACTCCCTAGGATTAATTCCCAGATCAACTACTCGTACCCAAATGTTTGTCTCAAGGTCTGTTTCACACGACTATAACACAGACTTTGGTATGAGAGTGATCCTCACAAACAGACCATGAGGAGGGGATTCTGGAATGGGATCACTTACCTCGTTGACAGGATAAGCAGGGTGGTGGTAATCCCTGGCCTGTATCTCAATCCCTGGGAATCTCACCTGGGATGAAATGAAACAAGAAGAAATGGGTTATCCAGTATCTCTGTCCCTAGAGTGGTTTGAGGGTAAAGGATTGTGGAATTTGTTAGCATTTGTTAACTGCCTTGGAAGCCTTGAAAAAAGAAAGTAACAAATTCTGATCAGCCAACTGTCAAATCTGGGCACACGGAAAGCCAGAAGGTCACCTTGGCAGTGTTCAGAGTGACCAATATCTCCTTAGCCATAGGACTTCCATCATGATCATCAGGCTCAGAGTGTAATAGTAAGGGTGGCAGAGCTGCAAAGGAGATGAAATTTGCAGCTTGCACAAGTCTCCTTTGCTAGCATCAGAGCTCTGAGAGCAAAGGGCAGGGACTGACACTTGGGTTAAGACAATTTTGGTAGATGCGCTTGAACAGCTTGAGTTCCTGGCTTTCTCTGAATCTTCCATACCAGACAAAGCAGCTCTTTCTCCCTCTCTAGTGAAGAAGGCAATGGCACCCCACTCCAGTACTCTTGCCTGGAAAATCCCATGGACGGAGGAGCATGGTAGGCTGCAGTCCATGGGGTCACTAGGAGTCAGACAAGACTGAGCGACTTCACTTTCACTTTTCACTTTCATGCACTGGAGAAGGAAATGGCACCCCACTCCAGTGTTCTTGCCTGGAGGGCCTGGTGGGCTGCCGTCTATGGGGTCGCACAGAGTCGGACACGACTGAAGTGACGCAGCAGCAGCAGAGAAGAGCAGCCTCCCCTTAGCTGGAGACTATGCAGTGGCCACCTGAAGTAGATGTCTTGTAAGATGACTCTGATGACCTCAAAATTGAACTCTTTTCCTCCCATTGCCACGAGAAGAATAACTAATGCCAAGTCTGAGCTGAGAGAGAAAACATAGTTCTTGATCTGGGAACAGATAGCTTTTACTGAAAGAACTGTAGGAACTGGCTAATAATTACTGGCAGGAGTTTGGAGAACATGTGTGGGAACAGATCTTGAATGTACTGGACCAGAGTGGCAGAATATAAGACTGGATAGAGGAAAGTTTATTGACATGGGAACATTCTCTTATGGTTTAAGATTTAACATCCTGGCAAGGACAGTAGGTGCTAACAGGCTCTTGGAATGACTTCTTGAAATTTGGTGTGGTGGCCTACACCAAATGAGATGGAGATGCTGGAATTGCCTTGTCAAAGTACTAAAGAAGAGGTTAATGGCTCAAAGAGGCAGGAATGTTAGAATGGATTTATGTCATGTGTTGAGAAAACTAGCCGACTGTTTTCCCAGGAAGAGCCCAGAGACTACTCTGTTAACTAAGGCATTAAAGACTGTATTAATGAGAATGGCAACAATATCTTTGCAAAAATTAGAATTATCTAGACCAGAATTCACAGTTGGAAATGATGTCACAAGATTGGCCTATCTTGCATTGAGATGATAGAGTAACGGCAGGGGGCAGGTAGTGGTATTCCAAATATCTCTGGCTAAGTAGCAGCAAAGCTGAAGGGGCAACTGAGGTTCCTTGATGTGTAGGAGCAGAGTGTACCTCATATCCAAGGTGTAAGAGAGTAAACTAGAGTGTAGTTTTACTTATAAAACCCAAAAAAGAAAGAGCTGGTTAGCAGAAAGTTGGTGTCAACTGTTATATAATGGAGAAGTGTTATAACTATTATTTTATGTCCATCGGTTGAAAAGATGGCCAGTGCTCTTTGAAGGATGCTATCTAAGCCACTACAAATACTTAGAATAAATATTTGCCCACTTTCTCTAGAGTACCATAAGCAACTTATCAAAGTAACTTTACAATGCAATACTTTCAAAGGTAGTTGGATAAGAGGGCTGAATTGACTTGATACCAAGTGATCTAAAATGTCATGTCCCACACTTAAGAGTGGGAACTTACGGATGCCAGGGTAATAAATAAAGTCTTGGCTCTAGTCCATCTTACAGTAGTTTCAATTGATCCAGATGGGTCCCTGGAATTTTCTTAACAGTTTTACATTGGTTCCCTGCCATGTAGAATAAAATCCATATGGTGGGGAGGACCAGGCAAAAATCTCTAAAATTGTACCCCCTTTCCCCAGGTAAGATAGTAATCCAAAACCAATATTGCACTCTGAGTAGAACTGCAGAGATGGGCATGACCTTCAAAGACGTAAAGAATGCAGGGGTGGCACCTTCTGCATTCACCTGTAAGGCCCCTGCTAAAACCACAAGCATCATGGTAGGAGACAGCAGACTACCATAAATTCAATGAAGTGTTCGAACTGATTGTGGCCGCTATGACAGTTAATATACTTTTTCTGGAACGTATCAATGCAAGCTTTGGCATGGCATGTGGCTGCTGATTTGACTTTTTTTCCAATCATTAAGAACATCAGAAGTGTTTATGTTAACATTGGAAGGATAGCACACAATGCATGTTAACCTATTGTCACTCTCCTCTTCTCTCCCCCAGGGAAGTCTGCAGGTTTCTTGTTCATCTTGTTATTCCACGGAACCTCGTTCTGTTCCCCTGTACTGATAAATCAGGCTAATCAGATCTGGTGAAGAGGAAGTGGAAAAGATTGGTACTCTATAAGACACACACAAGCCAGAGAATGAAAGATTCAGACCCCTGCAGATTTTAGGGGTCCAATGGTCTGGAGGATGCTGGGACATGCCCTCCAAGTTAAGGACAAGTTATTGAACTTGCACCCTCTATCATTAAGATGGTAACTTTGACTCCTGAAGTTAAATGCTGCTCTCACTCATATTTGGGGAAGAGGCGAAAGCTTCTCATTTCAAGGGGGACTCAGAGCAGGAGAGAGTACTCTGCTGCAGGCTCAGGCTGTGATGCAAGCGGCTCTCCTGCTCAGGCTATATGACAGATTATCAATGCTACAAATATCTGTGGTAGGATATTGTATGGCATCTCGGACAAGCTCCAACAGAAGACTAACAGTACAGCCATTAGGTTCTGGATCAAAGGCTTGCCCTCTCATTGTTTGAAAAGCAACTCTTGGCATGCCTCTGTGCCTAACAGACTCTCAGAATCTGTTCCCATATGACATCAAGTTATGAACCAGAGCTACTCATCATGAGCTAGGTGTCAGGTTCATCAAATCATAAGGTCAGAGTAACAGTAACAATCCATTATTTGATGCAAATGATATATCTGGGATCAAGCCTGAGTAAGTCCAGAGGGCACATGTAAGTTCCATAGACAAGGAGCCTAGGTTCCCATATCATTTACTTCTCATGCAGTGATGTATCTCCTTAACCTGCTCCTGTGATCCACAGAGAATCCCCTATGGTCAGTTGTATCAGTATTTATTGCTGCAATAATGTTTTGTAACAACCAAAAAAATCTTTGATACTCAACCATGAGCATTCATTATTGAGAGGCGTCAAAGGCCAGCTGGGAATTGGCTAGGGAGGTTTTCTGATCTTGGCTGGGCTTTCTCACATCCTGGGATTAGCTGCGAAGTTACTAGAACAACTTAGTTCTGCTCCATGTATCTCTTTCTCCATCAGACTATCCCAGTCATGTTTCCATATCAGTGGCAGAAGCATGCGAAAAGGCAGAGCAATCACTCAAGTATTTTTCAAGTTTTTGCTTGGATCAGATTTATTAACATTCTATTGACCCAAAGAAAATCACATGTCTAAGTTCAAAGTCTCAAGTGAGGCAGAATGTTCCACCCAGAAATCAAAGGCAATGAAATTTTATGAGAAAGGGCATGGAGACAGGGAGAAGTGAAGAAGTAAGGCTATTGCTGAGGTATTACTGCCATCATACCAGATGGCAGAGAAGGAAAATGTGGGCCTTGTTCCTGGGTGGACCAGTTTGATATCTTGGTGTGAGCCAAAAATGGCTGGTTTTCACACTTAGCCTCTCTCAGAGGTGGCTAGAAGGATTAGTGATTAGGAAAAAAATCTTCCTGACAGACACAGCTTCAGAGAGTGTACTTGGTCATTCACGGTGATGGAGAAAGATGTGGCCTGAGTTAAAGACAAACACAAATTTTTCTGTAACTTTTTTTTTTACAGGAAAGTGTGTAGATTTTTGTATCATGGAATGTTAACAAAAGAGTACTCAGCTGAGGAGGCAAAGATTAGGTGGACAGGATGATTCTTTCAGTAGATTTCAGCCAGTCTTGTCCTTGACCACTCGAGGCTTCCACAACAAACCCATAAGTGAAGTAAGTGTGATGGCAGAGATAGAGGTTATGCATGAATCCAACAACTTGGGCTTTCTCTAAGGCTGATGCAGTTATGCCACTATTGAATATGTGATCTGTCAGCAGTAGAGACCAGTGATTTGGTAACACTCCAGAAGATAAACTAGTCACTTGGGAGCAAGTTATTTGCATTAATTTTCCTCCATCTTGGAGAGGGAAGCAATTCTCTCCCATTGAAATTAACTTGTATTCTTGTTTTCCCTTTCATTAGTCCCTCTGTCATCATTACTGATAGTCTACAGAATGCCTATTACCAACATGGTATCTTGCGTTACCTCACCTCAGATCAAGGAACTATTTTGCGGCAAATGAAGAGCAACATGAATTACTGGATCCATGATCCTAACATATGCAGCATTATCTAGAAGCAGTCAAAAAGGAATCATGAAATGAACTATTACCGTATCTGCTTAGACACCAGCTTGGAGATGACAGCCTGCAGGGTTGGGGTGCTGTTTTTCAGGATGGGATACATGCACCCTACCAAAAGCCAGTATGTGATTCCATGTCCCCAACTGCTAGGATTCATGCAGCTAAGAGCCAAGGGGAGAGAAAGAGGACTGGCCCTCCAGCATTCTCAGCGGCCTACAGGCATAATGGTGCTTCCCACCCTTACCACCTTAGGCTCTGCAGGACTGGAGGTTATTTCCAGGGGAACAGGAAAAAGCTAGCACATTTCTATCAAGAAGCACAGTAAGATTTAAACAGAACTGCTGCCAACTGATCCTGGTGGACTGCTCATGTCTCTGGGGCAACAAGCAAAAAAAAAAAAAGGGAGTTGATGTGTTGGTTAATGAGGAGCTAGGATTACAACTACAAAATGAAACAAGGAAGATGATCTGGAACTCATGCAATTCAGTGATTTGCCTGACTCCCGATGCTTCCGTGCCTGGTGTGAACAGCAAACAGACAAACGTGGTAACTGTAGCTGAAAAGGGGCCAAGGAAACAAGGCCCTCGATTTCTGAAGGCATGGAGGCCTGGGCCATGCTACGAGGCGGCTGAACTAGACCTGCTGGATTTCTGGAAGAGAGCAAGCGGAGTCTCAAACTGGTGGTGCAGGAAGGAGATGATGAATATGGGTTTTGGTCTTTGGTTCAGTTGTAGAAACAGGAACTATAGCTTGTCTCACTAATCCTCCTGGGTAGTCTCCAATAGAGTGGGACTGCTCATCACTCTGAAGATATGGTGATGGGGAGATGTAACATGGGACTCAATTCTGAATAGGCAAGGGCTAGATAGCAGAAAACACCTCTTTTGTCCCACATCACATCCTTTTGTCAGCTTCTGCCATCAGCTCACTCTGAACCACACTGAAACTACTTACAATTTAATTTCTGCTGACAAACATCTGACTTTGATGGTATATCTAATGAACAAGCTGTGAAAAGCTTTACATGCTAATAAATACTACCAGTAAGTTCCAGACCAACAATAAATGCGATATATAAGCTTCCAGTTGTCACAAAAAATTTCAATCCAGTATTGCTTTCTGCCAGAAATTTAACTCTTATGATACAAGTGTACATAATACTTTTCATGCTAAAGTATTCACAAAAATTGAATCATTCACTTTGCCAAATTCATTTTTTTTTTTTGTATTGATGATCACTAACCTCACATTGACTTCATTCTACATGCTCCTTGCATCTCTGAAATACTCCATCTCAGTACTTTATTTAGGCTATTCTATTTCTCAGCAGGGCCCTTTATTTTGGTAACAAGACATACTGCCAGCTTATTATAAATGCTTTATTTTTTTTAACACAGAGGAAGCTTGGTGGCAGATCTGTAGCCACTTGATGTCATTATAACTAATTACAGTTCAGGCTTTCTTATAGAATGTAAAGGTACACTAACACATGTATATGTAATTGTTATGAAAATTAAGCTTAGTCACTAAAAGAAGATTCATTATCTGAACTTTCTTCTGTGTTTTTTTCACCTTCACCATTAGGCACTGGAGCGTCTGGTCTCCTGAAAAAGAAGGGGAAAAAAAAAAAAAAAGAAATTTAACGCTTTTTCCAGTTGAAAAAAAAAATCACTAAATGTAAATGAGGTTCATCCTAGAATATTGCTGCTAATAAATCTGCCAAGTCTGCGTCCTTAACTGAGCGCCTCCTGCTCTCTAGCACGGCATGCTTCTCGCAGGCTTCTCCAGGACTAGGGGATTCAGGGCTATTCCTGTATAGGCCACGGCACCGTTTCCTCCCGTCCTTACACAGTGTGCTGCTTCAGCACTTTCTGCTTCTCATCACCATGGAGACCCAACGACAGACAGAGATGTGATCTGGAGAGGCTGGCATGACCAGTGCTAAATCCTTGCAGCCTCCAAGTGTCCGTAAGGTACAGAGAGAGGAAAGCTATAAGTGGAAAGAAAAAGAAAATCTTCAGGCTCAGGAAAGCTGAAGGGAGTAATTTAAAAATGGAAGAGATTTCAAGAATGGGCAGTAAGAAACACAGGCAATATGGAAATCCTGTGCGGGAGGAAAGTGACTGTTCATAGGTGGTTCTTAATGTCTGCTGAGTGTTTTCACTTATATGCTTTATCATCAGATAAACATAAGAAGAATGAGTTCATAAAAATAATGTCTTTAAGATTCACTAGGCACAAGATGATGTGAAAATGGTTAAACTGCAGCTTTGTATAGATGTGCTATAAAAAAACCACAGGAAATTTATTGGTGTCATTAAAAAAGTCAACTTGATAGGTTCCATAGTGTTTGTTAGTAAATCATTTGATCAATGTGGCAGCACTATCACTCAGCACCTATTCACTCTCACCAAGAAAGCAAATTAAGCAAAGTCTACCTGGGGGAAACTAAGAGGGAAAGGAGGACTAATACAGCTGCTCTGTTTTAGTAAATGAAAGCTACACAACTTATTTTTCCCTCAGGTTCCTTGATTCTTAATAAGATTTAAGATACCAACAAACAAAACTCTTCTTTGCCACAAATATAATAATTATTGCTAAAATAAGAAAATGTATAGTCTCCTACTTACTTGTTATCATGAATTATGTTATTAGTTATTATGGCCGAGTTCTGACTTAGTTTTTAATACCATGTCCGTCATGCTATGAAACAGAAGAAATGCTGGCACTGCTCCCTAGCAGTGGGTCACACATAAACCCCTTTGCTCTGATGTACAATTTTAGATTATGGGGGGTGGTCCTAAGATGGTGGAGGAATAGGACAGGAAGACTACTTTCTCCCCCACAAATTCATCAGAAGATCATTTGAACGCTGAGAAAATTCCACAAAACAACTTCTGAACCCGAGTGGCTTAGACCTGGGAAGTGCGTGCAACCCAGGGCCTGCTTCAGACAGTACCCCTGCACAGAAACCTGGGGCCTGAGTGGTGTAGACGGGGAAAGCAAACATGCCGCGAGCGGGGGCAAACATGCTGTGGCTGAGACACTGCGAGCACTCCCCACACACGCCAGTGATATTTGCTTGCAGTGTTCCTCCCTCCCCACTGCACGACTGAACAAGTGAGCCTAAATAAGTGACCACCTTCGCCCCCTTGTGTCAGGGCAGAAATTAGACACAGGAGACTTGCAAACAGAAGAAGCCAAAATAAACAGAGGGAACCGCTTTGGAAGTGACAGGTGCAACAGGTTAAAACCCTGTACTTAGCACTGACGACATTGGAAGGGACCTATAGACCTTGAGAAGTATAAGCTGGATCAAGGAACTATCTGAAACTGAACTGATCCCATACTGCCCGCAACAGCTCTAGAGAAATTCCTAGATATATTTTTACTATTATCATTTTTTTTAATTAAAAAAATTTTTAAGTCCTTTATTACTCCTTTAATTTTAATTTTTATAACCTACTATTACCTTGCAAGGAAAAAAGATTATATTTTTAAAGCAAATTTCATCTATTTTTAAAATAATTTTTGTGATTTTTTTTTAATATTGTACTTTTGAGAGTCTAACCTCTACTCCACATTTTTACTCTTTGTTTTCTGGTATTTGTTATCAATTTTGCACCTTTAAGAATTCAATCTTCAGTGCCCATTTTTACTTAGGAGTGTGAGTACTGGCTTGACTGCCCTCTCCCCCTTTTGACTCTTTTTCTCCCCTAGGTCACCTCTATCTCCCCCCCCACCCCTTCTCTTCTCTACCCAACTCGGTGAATCTCTTTGGGTGTTCTGGGCTGTGGAGAACACTTAGGGAACTGATAACTGGCTAGATCTGTCTCTCTCCTTTTGACCCCCCCCCCCCTTCTCATCC